TAATTATGTTTATATGTTGAGCCTGCAAACGATTCAATGTATAAAAATAGTTAAATTAATCAGGAGAAGTTCGGTAAAATAGACGTGAACATAGTGAACTCAAAAACAACTAATGGAACGGTTTTCAAATCCTCAGTCCACTGCATGCGTCATATTATGACGTCATAATGATTGTTATAGCGTGATGGCATTCCCTCGGCAGGAGAGTTTTGCGGCCACCGGGTAATATTGTTCCAGTTGTCACCTCCTGGCAGGGGTGACACGGAAACTTCTGATAAACGCCATTGACCAATGAAATTAAAGTATGTTACAAGAAGGTAAGATAAAGTTGCATGCTGTATCAGTGACTCGCAAACTTCTAAAATGCCGATCAAACTTACGTGTAAGTCAGCAGAAGAAAGCATGGCAAGAGAGTCTAAGGTAAATCAGTGTCAGATTCCTTTCAATTTGTCAAGCTGGACTATTCAATGTCCCGTCACGGGCTACCTAAAGTTAGTAAATATGGTTTTACCACTTTCAGCAATATTCCAGCAACATCACCGCCGGGGACGCCATAAATTGCCTTCACACGTTGTCACATATGTGAAACGAACCCGAGTGTTCGGGCGTAATGAGCGAACGCTTTAACCATTAAGGGGCTACCCCAGCTCCCACTTCGAAAGAAAGGGACCAAAGGGTGTTAGCTGAATTCAAAGCCTCGCATAGTCTGTTGATTCAGATCACTGACTCCAGGTTGTTCTAGTGACACTTCTAGAGACTAATTGTATATTTTCAAAATACAACTACACGTGTGACACAGTGAACAAAACAATGGATTGAACCGAGGCCGGAAAATATCGTTTTACTCGAGACAGAATGACACCCGGTGTTCGCGAGATAAGATTGTCCTTAAATACCGAAGGCACCGATTGGTTTGAAGGTCAAGGACGCGACATTCAGGATCTGAGGATACATGAAGTAGAAGCCTTGAAAGTATGCTTAATATATATTTGGTTTATCTGACTTTAGTCAGATAACACGAGAAAGCTTAAATTATTGGTGATACCTTCGGTGAAACAAAATAATAAGAGACCTTTATTTTTCATTACAAGCGAATTATGATGCAGAATTAACGATAGCTGATATATGCTCCAACAACTCATCCACACATCAAAGCGCGTAAGTCATTCTTGTCATAAAGAGGCGACTAAATCTGTGGAGTGGTTGTTAACTTGGTCGATTCATGTCATCATATCCCAGTTATGGTAGATCAAAAATAATTCATGAGACTTATATTTTCACTAAATGCAGCTTAATAAAGCACAGAACTAACGACAGCTGATATACTCGATTACCTTCCAACTCATCTCACGAAGGAGCGTTAAATAGACAGTTCTGGTGAAAATGTCGTCAAATCAATGCCATATATAACTCAATTTCTCCTGAACAGACTGTCCAGACTGCATTTTCGGTGTAGCAACACTCTTTTCAAGCCAAAAGTGAAAGTGCTTTCATTGCTCTGCAATAAACAAGAAGTTGTTAGCTATAAGAGTTGTGTATGAATTATTACCAACTTCTAGAATGCCGATCAAAACAATTCGTTTTCAATGCGCAAAGAAGGCGAAAAATGTTTTACTTAAGCTTTCCAGGTTATGCGTTGATCTTATATCGCTCAGTGGCCAATTCCGTTCCAATGATTTACCCTCCGGAACTCTGAAAAGGAGACAATTGAAACCGCCCCTTGTTTTTGTAATATTTAAATCCATGCATAGAGTTTCAGAATGAAGGCTGTATGACAAAAGGGATGATTCAGACTTTCCAACAGTCAACTTTCTTTCGAAAGTAATATTCTTCCCAAAGATGCTCACAACCGCCACATTTCTAAGGCTACAAATATCGGCTGCATCGAAAAGCTTCAAAATAGACAAGTATTATTCCCCACCGCCGTGGTTTTTAGGTGAAAATTGACAAGCCTCTGCATGTGTTTATGACGGTGCCACCGGTTAGACAGGATATCGCTTGACCTTGTCGCTAACACCTGATATATAATCACTATAATCACGCGATGCTCACTAAAGTCGGAATTGTACACCGATTCTGCTTTTGGCATTTGATGTGGAAGGGTTTTATGACTCGCAGTTACCTCGATAATTCGTTGTTAAAGATTTCGCCGTCACACCGGCGTCTCGGGTTCGATGCCCAACTTGGGTACAATATGAAGACGGTTTCTGTGTCCCCCGGCATGATATTGTTGGAATATTGCTAAAAAGCGCCTTAACGATACTTACTCAACCAGTGGCTGTCACTAATAGTATTTCCTGACCTCGTACTACTACTGCCATGTAGCCATCGATATATTTGTATATGGGTGGTTTATGAATACATTTCACCTGTCAGAGAATATGCATGTCTGCTCACCGACAGCATGATCTGAATACTTAAAATAGTACCTGTGCATAACATAAAATTGCATACATTAAAGGTTATTTGAAAAGTTAGGCAAAATAACCCTAATGACATTTGGTGTCAATTATCGCGCGTGGCATGTGCACTTTGTGCACCATGAACTTACTCGCTTTTTGCATGTTTTTTGACACCTGAAGTTCACACACCTGATATTTGAAACTGAAGAACGGTTGATTATTCTCGACCGGAATGTTCTGGAAAATACGTCAATTTAAACAAGTGACGCCGTTCCGCACGGCGCTCACTGGGTATGTTGGGGACTGAAACGACCCAAAATGAAGTGGCCAGCCATTTTGGTATCCATGTGAAACACGATCTTTGGAGAAGTTTTCAACATAAAGTGAACACGAGATTTGTCTCGGAAATATCACGTCAGCAAGACAACCATTTGGCATTGACCCGTTTAAGAATCGACATTTTCATCTGACCAATGGAACAATCCCCAGGTTCAAAGATTGCCAAGCTGCTGTAAAAGCAAAAACACTGCAGACCTTGCCTTTGATGTTCATGGGGCAGAGTTGAACATCTTCCGACTCTTCAGGACCTTCAGGTGTTGGCTGACAAACGTCTGTTGGCCACCCAGAGTTGATGTAAACGAGTGCTCGTAAGCGAAGAGTTCACGCCTGGGACGGACATCGTTTCAGGAAAGCTTAATCGCTGAGCTACGAATTAGTCGTCGCAATCCCATAATTAAAACATAGGTGAGGGTGGAGGAGGTGAAATTGGGTTTTACGTCGCGCTTGAGAATATTTCGCCCATATGACGACGTGCATGCAGTGTAGGTGTACTGTGCGGCTGCTTGTACTAGCCCAGACTGAAGCTGGTTTTATAGTTCTAGCCCACTGAGATACCACCGCAGTGAAAGCTATGAATACCCCACTCAGACACATTATACTTTTGACTCCGAGCCAACAAATCCTTGTTGTACCCATTAATGCTGAAGCCAGGCAGGGACCAACAAGTACCATATTTTAACGTCTTTGGTATGAGCGGTGGAACTCCGCGATCACTTCTCGGAAGCTCTAACCACTACACCACGGAGGCGGTCGAGTGAGTGGGAGTGAGTTTAGTTTATATACTGCAACATAGACTTACGACAGTCGTGTAACGCTAATGATGTTGGCGTATCTATAGCCCATTTTGTATTGTGTTGTCCCCTATAGTTAAAATAATGTTTTAGATTCACTTACTAGTTTTACATGTATATCTATGATAATGGCGTTGTTTTACTGTCCTTCATCGGCAGGTGTTTTATAGTATACATGTTATATTTTATTTCACTATCAAATGTTCTCGCCACGATATGGCTGAAATATTGCCGATGTGACGTTAAATGATAACTCACTCACTCACTCACGTAACGCTACGATAGCTTTCTGAAACGGGGCCCTTGATAGAGTGGTCTCTCCTGGGTTACCCTGGTCACTGCCTGTTACCCCTGGTCTTCCTGTGTTACACCTGGTCTTCCTGGGTTACCCTAGTCTTCCTGGTACCTTGGTCTTCCTGGGTTACACCTGGTCTTCCTGGGTTACCCTGGTCTCCTGTGGGCACCCTGGTCTTCCTGGGTTACCCTGGTCTTCCTGGTTTTACACCTGGTCTTCCTAAGCTACCCTGGTCTCCTGTGTTACACCTGGTCTCCTGGGTTACCCTGGTCTTCCTGGGTTACACCTGGCCTTCCTGGGTTACCCTGGTCTTCCCATGGGTTGCAAACCTGGTCTTCCTGGAGTTACCCTGGTCTTCTCTGTTACACCTGGTCTTCCTGGGTTACCCTGGTCTTCCTCTGGGTTACACCTGGCCTTCCCAAGGTTACCTGGTCTCCTGGGTTAAACCTGGTCTTCCTGGTTACCCTGGTCTTCCTGTGTTACCCTGGTCTTCCTGGGTTACCCTGGTCTTCCTGGGTTACACCTGGTCTCTGGGATTTACCTGGTCTTCCTGGGTTACAGACTGGTCTTCCTGTTACTCCTGGTCTTCCTGGGGTTACACCTGGCCTTCCTGGAGTTACCCTGGTCTTCCTTTAAACCTGGTCTTCCTGGGTTACACCTGGTCTTCTGGTAACACCTGGTCTTCCTGTGTTACCCTGGTCTCTCCTGGGTTACCTGGACGTGGTCGATCCCACGAACAGCGACTGTTCTCTTAGGGTTTCAAGATTGGTCTAATAACGACAGACGTCTTGAATGACGTTCCAACTGCATGTGTACCCACTATCTCTCCATCTCAGTCCCAATAAAACTCTCCTCGCCATCGTAACGTGTATGAATGAAACGGATGGCATATTCACAAGTTATATTCCATGAACGGTCAGGTAGAGCTGATGTTTTTCATGACATGAGTAGGTAGCATGCTTCACTTGCATGTGGGCTGCGTCTTGGCACGTCCTTTCACACTCAAACCTTGCTTTTCAGTACCTGACATGTGCTACTATACAATGACATAATTGAGATAATATCATCGTCGATAGGTTCATAACTATAATGAAATATATCAGTGCTTACTTAAGTGCCATGTGTATAAGGTGGCAAACCAATACTATATGGTAAGTGTTGGTAAGACGTTACCTCTGTCCACGTGGTCACGTCTCTGTGTATCCAGCCCGGCCTGGAAACAAGATTCCTCCGGGCAGTGCTGCTGTTACGAGTGTGACGATGATACTCCAGGGATTGAGGATCGAACCCGACCGACTGACAGCGAGGTTGAGTGTAACATGTAACCACGCAGTCAATCACTGAAGAGGCCTGTGTGACGTCATACTGGTGGTTGTCGAGGTAAGTGTTCTGGACCTGGAGATAATCGTCACACAACATACGAACCAGCACGCAATATGACACAAGAATCAGCAGCGTCAACAACGGCATTCTGCGTCCCTCCATCACAGCTGCCTCAACAACGATACTGACAGGACTTTTTGGAGTGAAATGTTCAGGCTGCAGCTTAAATATCGCAGTTTATATACAGTTTATATCTTCGCATGCATAAGTGAAGAGATCGAACACAATATTATATGAAATCCTAGAAGGGACATTGTCGCCCATTTTAAGGCCATTTTTACACATATTAGATGAGGCGACAACGCGACATATTTTGACCTTGAAAATTGTCTCTATGTCGTATTGTCGCCCTTTGGCCGAATAAAAACTATTCAAAGCGCGTCGTTGTGACAAATGGCCAAAATGTCGCCTTGGCACACTTTGGGCAATCGCGCCAGTTTTTGCTTGTTTGTGTGGAGTAACAACGCGACAATGTCCCTTCTAGGATTCCACAATATTCAGCTAATTGTTTATGCGTCACTTTCATTAATTTTGTAACAGTTTGTGCAACCAAAAGGTTATTATGCTGCTAATACGTCACACCCTCACAATGTAGAGTTTGTGCAACCAAAAGGCGTTTATGCTGTTAATACGTTACACCCCACAATGTACAGTTGGCAGAATGGATTCTCTTGCATGCTGTGGTGGGATTTGGAAAGTTGTGGTCTGATACTGAGATGTTATGTTCTTAACTCCGGGGATGGTGGGGTAGTCTAGTGGTTAAAGCATTCGCCCGTCACGCCGAAGACACAGGTTCGATTCCCCACATGGGTACAATTTGTGAAGCCCATTTCTGGTGTCCCCCGCCATGATATTGCTGGAATATTGCTAAAAGCGGCGTAAAACAAACTTCATTCACTCACTCACTCTTTAACGCGGGCTGAAGGGTGTGGATGTGCCCACAGTTGGTCTACTGGTCCTTGTATCACATTCTATAAGCGTTTTTACACAAAGAATTGGAGAGTGTCATCAGCAAGAATGGTATGATACAGTTTGTGAATCTGGAAAACTGACCACCTATCATGGAGTTAAATCATTGCTAAATACAGAATATTACATGTCCGCCATTACGACCAGAGACTTACGCCGACTGCAGCTTCTGTTGAGATCATCCGAACTCCAAATAAGAGTTGGTGGGAACCAATAACTCGTGAAGAAAGAATATATATAATGTGTGTCCTACATGTAATCGAAAACAAATATCATTTCCTACTAGAATGTCCTGCCTAGCATAACTCAGGAATATGATATCTTCCTCTGTTTTCAAACCACTATCATGAAATGTAATACGTTGTTAACATCGAGAAAATATTATCTTGCTCAACAATTGTGTAAAACTGAAATGAAGTTGTTTTTGAATGAGTCATTACTGTGGTTCCTGTCACCTTGTCGTTGTTATTCAATTAATGTGTGTAATTTTTGTATGTGGGCCGTTGTCCTTAATTAGAAGAGCTACTCGTTTTTTAATGTTGCGGTCCTTTACCGTTGATTTAAGGCAGCTAACTGTAATTGAAAATCCGAACGCGTTAGGAAAATTGAACACTTTATCTCCATCCTAGCCCGACATGATAAGCGTTTTAAAACCGGACTCTGGCGCCCCAGAACATAATGCCTAAGGGGCCTTTTTCTTGGAAATCGCTTGGAATCGTCCAGCTGAGGGACGGATTGTGTAATGAACAAAATGACAACATCATGAATCCTTTATTCTGGAACCAATAAGCTGGTATTTGTAACACAAAGCTTAAATAGATTTTAAAAATACAGTTTATACTGTGAGCAAGTACAATTATTTGTGTTTTGGCAAGCGAATTATTAGTCTCCCCATCTGTATGACAATCGACTAGCCCCAATTCAAGCCGTGAACTCTCTAAGTTTAATCGCCGCTAACTTTATTCACGGAAGTAATTGTTGATAACCACGCTACTGTTCCCAATTTGGAAAAGACCTGTCACTTTAATTAGATGTCATTAAATTGCCATTTAAGTACGGTTTTGATGAGCTCTCAGCCAATCAGAACCGAGTATCAGAATGCTGAATATACTCTATTGCAGTAGTGTTGTATGGATGGTGATTGGCATGCTGTTACGTCTCGTGAAAACTAGATCTATGTTGGCCTGTGTCTTTAAAAATATAATGCTCTTAAAAAAGTAGCCGAACTTCATTTTAGAGTTACGATTGAACAAATTGGGAGGTATATCGGAATCAATCATTGCTGGTATGATAATAATGAATGGTTACAGAGTACAAAATGCTTGGTGTAATGGTGTCTTCTCATGAAGTCACCAGTAGGGTGAACACTATTCGCACTAAGTCACTGGCGATTTTGCTTTGAAGTTTCTAATCCAATATGGATTAACGGATTAGGGATTAACGGATTAGTCAGTTGGTCACTCGAGCGAGAGACGCTAATGAGCTGAACTGGTGTTCACTTCAAGTCACTGTAAATTAATTGACATTTATTAGTGAACTCTGTTCAACAATTTTATGACAAATATAAATAGAGGTCCCGGACCACTTTCGCTACTAAGTCCTACCATGGCAAATGCACAGCTACAGGTCAAGTTCATCCCAACTTCGAGAGGCGGCAGATATCTTTGTTCGGGTGGTTTCATGTACAGAGTCAACAAAAGGAAACGTGATGAAACCTTAGTATGGAAGTGTACGACCAAGGATTGCCGTATAACAGTGACGATGTATGTAACATCGGTGTAATGATGATGGCGTGCAATTTGCAAATGCACGTTTTCAGTTTAAAACAAAAAAACTCGACTTGAAACAGACAATAACAACTGTTTGTTGCATGATGGTTGACAAAATAAATGGTCTACAGTGATTTATCGACCTTGTTGTAAAACGTCAAACTCAAGAATGACACTCCATGCATGTGTATGGGGCTACTGCGTTGTGCACGTGCATCCCATGCATTGTTTTCAGGGGTGGTGATACAGAGAAATGGTGGTGCGTTCATAACATGTCAGTCTCTGAAATGTTTCTTAACGCTTATTTATAAATACTTCCTATCCAAATTGGACCGCCTCCGTGGTGTAGTGGTTTGAACGTCCGTCCGGAGAGCGGAAAGTCGCGGGTTCGATCCCCGACCGCGTTAAAATATGGTACTTGTTTGTCCCTGCCTGGCGCTCGGCATTAATGGGTACAACAAGGACTGGTCGGCTCGGATTCAGTATTATGTGTCTGAGTGGGGTATTCATGCTTCACTGCGGCATGGTATCTCAGTGGGCTAGCACTATAAAACCAGCTTCATTCTGGGCTAGTACAAGCAGCCGCACATACACACGCATGCACGTCGTCATATGAGCGAAAAATTCTCAAGCACGACGTTAAACCCAATTTCACCTCACCTCATGCTATCCAAATTGAAGGTTCAGGTTCCTTTATTTCCTTTGAAGAGTATATTAGAGATGTTGCGTTATGATAAATATGACATTGTGTATGTTTCAGCACAGTTATGCCAAACTCACAAAAGAAATGCAAGAAATACAAGAAATCATGCTTCGTATGATGAATTAGTAGCATGTGCAAAATTCCGATGTGGAGCATATCGTCTTTTCGTTAGCACAAGAATATATACCGATGATTGATTTTTCTGATGTGAAAATCTCCAGCAAACGTTGAAAGGTCTCGGTTAGAGCTTATCGATGTACTTACAAAATGTGATTTCGGAAACTGATGAGCATCATGTTGTATGTCAGTGTAGCAACGATATACTTCATGTTTGTTTACGGCGTTACCTTGTAAATATATAGAGTTATGTCCCCTTGCAGTAACTTCATAACTTCATAAATTTACCTATGTACTGTTCACGGCCAGAATGATAGATTGACTGATTGTTGTTTAACGCCGCACTCAGCAATATTCCAGCTATATGGCGACGGTCTGTAAATAATCTGTCTGGACCAGACAATCCAGTGATCAACTGCGTGAGCATCGATCTGCGCAATGCGGGAAGCGATGACATGTGTCAACCAAAGCAGAGCCTGACCACCCGATCCCGTTAGTTGCCTCTTAAGACAAGCTTGAAGACCAATATCTTACCCGGATCTTCACGAGTCGTCTTCACGACCAGAAGGTGAGGTTATTGCATTGTGATCTATTAAGTTAAACATTGCAGCGTATTGCTTATGTTTAGTGCGATTGCTATGTTGGTTGGTTGGTAGGCTGGAAGGCTAGTAGGCTGGTTATTATTATTGGATATATATAGCGCACATATCAATCTCAACTCCCTGGGGATCATACAACTCTTGCTGCCACAAGGCGCACCGAGTTATTGCGGCTTCCCCATCCTTACGAGGTACCCAGTCACAGCTGGGTGGACTGGGACAAATAGTCAGACTCACAGTACTTTGTCCAAGTTTACTGCATGTTGCTGTACCCGCAACTAGGTGTTTGCACGTATTCATGTGGCCACCATCCGGTCATTTACCAACGAATTCGTGGGTTCTTTTAAGTGCACAGGGTTGTGTACTGTACACTAGGGGTTGTGACAACACTAAAATATTCTGCACACAAAGTTGACTCCAAGGTTTTTACACCCGGTCACAGGTGGGCTCGATTCCGAAAAAAACGAAGGTCATCTCAGTTACGCCTGTCCACATCCCTGTCGTCACTGTGGTCAAGAGGACCATAAGAGTATGAACTGCTCTAACAAGGGCCAGAAACGTCCAGCATCCACCCACCAGCCAAGTGAACCGCCAAAGAAAGTGAGTAAACGTGAAAGCCAACATTTACTGACTCTACTCCATGACAAGGTCCTCCTCGTTCAAGATCGCATAGACACCATGTACTCTCTACTTCAACGCATCTTGGAGTT